TCCTTCCTTCCTTCCTTCCTTCCTTCCTTCCTTCCTTCCTTCCTTCCCTTCCCTTCCCTTCCCTTCCCTTCCCTTCCCTTCCCTTCCCTTCCCTTCCCTTCCTTCCTTCCTCCTTCCTCCCTCCTTCCCTCTTCATTCTCCTTTCTTCTTTCTTCCCATCTCCCTTTCTTTTCCTTTGACTTTCCTCTTTCCCTTTCTCCTTTCCTGTCCCTTCTTGCATACTCAAATGCAAAAGGGGAAACATTTCTCCTTTTGTTTTGTTTTTAGTTTGTTTTGCTAACCCTCTGCCAGCAAAAATGGAGCCCAGAGGGGGTGCACGCGGCTCCCATGGACTCCGTTTTTGGCCAGAAGGGCCTCCTGCAGGCCTCTGCCAGTGAAAACAGAGCTGTGCCCCCCCCCCAAGTTCCATTTTTGTTGGCAGAGGGCTGCAGGAGGCTGTTGTAGCCGAAAACGGAGCCTCGAAGGGCTGCACACGGCCCTCCTGAGCTCCATTTTCACTGGCAGAGGCACCACAGGCCAGTCCTTTGCTGTTTCCAGGGTAGCCCTGTGGGCCAGATCTAAGACCCCACGGGCCAGATTCAGCCTATGGACCTTGAGTTTGATACCCCTGGCATAGAATGTCCATGTATGTAAGAAGTGGAAAGAAAGGAAAACTATGTATTAATGCACAGTACTGTGCATGACTCAACTTTGATTCATATTTCTTATTTAACATTTAGGTAAATCAACAGTGACATAGGAATTGTCCATTTCAGGAGTCTGTGGTAGAAAAATGGCTGATATGCTACAGAAAGTGCTACTGATTTCCAAATCAATTATGTTAATAGGGTCTTGAATTGTCATGAACCCTGCCGTTAAATAACTGACTTCTCTTCTGGGGTGGGAAATGAAAGACTAGAAGTAAATACTAACTTGGAGGTATCCAAGCACCAGAACAGCAAAGCCTGTTATTGCATAGGAACTTGCAAAATAGATCATTTGACTTTCAATATCCAGCAACCTATGAAGAAAAGAATAAAAATTAATCAGGACCGAAACATCTCAAGAGCCAAGTCCCATGAAAAGCCCCTTTTTGGAGGGGCTTAAAGAAATATAAATGAAGGATATAATTTTGGAATTCTAAGGTTTACCATTTCAGTGAATCAATTTAAATGCATGGGCTAAATTGGCTGAGTGAATAGTGCAGCAACTGGAATTGTCTTACAACCAACTACAGTAGCTGTATTGAGTGCTCAAAGATCAGGGCAGAATAATTTATAGCATAAGTGTAGAATGAAAAAATAAAATGACATTAGTAGACAATTTGACAAAATGAATCCATACATTAACTGTTTCTGTAACTCCATACCAGCATTAAAGGATGACTTATTCCAAAAAAAAGAGCAAAGCGAGAAAAATAATCCACATTTTTTTAAAAAAGTGCTCTCATTTCAAACAGCAACACTGACAAGGATGCTTTTTAAGGCCAAATATCCAATTACCTATATGCATTGCCATATACCACTGATTGCATTGTAAAAGCAGACACTTTCCTAAGGCTACAGAAAATGCATATGCTCTTGAATTTCAGATCTTCGTGGGATGATGACAGTGTAGGAGTCACACTGTTTTAAGCAGTTCCAGTTTTAGGAATTAAAACTATTCTGATTTTCCTAACAAATTAAAGGCCAGCATTTGCATATGTTCAATAAGGTTGGGGGGGCTTTTTGTATGCACTTTTTACAGTTCCCTTTCCTAGGCGTAACAAGGAGAGAAGATGCTTCAACGTAAGTACGGTGATATGAGAACTTGAAGATCAATGTGCAGTCAATTAATTTAAATTCATTTTAAATGTGTTGTAATTAGATTCACATTAAAAAATGTGCGATTTGAAAGGGCATGGCTCTGTTCCAAACTCTGATCAAACCTGCTTCAAAGTTTCCATTCAAAAAATAGTCAATTATAATTATAATAGTCAAGTATAATTAAGGAAACATCATACCACCTACAGCTATTTCAATTTTTGTCAGAATAAGATGAACATAAAGGCCATGAAGAAATACAGCTCTGCATTTCTTTTGTAGCCTATCCTGACATTACCTTTTATTATACTTTGCTAACAAAGAAAGATCACAATTTTAGGCTTACAGAAATCAAAGCATCTTCAAGAAGCACATTAACGTGCAGTCTACCATTTTCCAAACAACAATAACCCTACCCTGTTTAAGATATAATCCCAAAACAAAAAACAAGTAATTCTCTTCTTTTTCCAATATTCCTTGTTGACACTTTTTCCATCTTTTTTTAGGGTATAGGGACACACACACACACACACACACACAAAATCTTCCATATATTCAAACAGTGGGATAGTTAAATGGAATGGAGGAAGAAAAGATCCAAACTCTACTTTCTTTCCAGCTCTTCTTTCAGACAACACTGGATTTGGTATTTTCTCAGCAACAACTACGGCAATTGGTTGATGATTTGCATTTAAACAAAGTAGATCATAATATTGGCTTCCCAAAGTTCCAGGTTTATTTTTGCTTCACTAAATATTTGAGACCAGACAAAATGTTTCCCATTCAATACACTGTATTACTCTTAGAGGTAGCATAGGTGGGCCTTGTTTAGTGACCACAATTGGGACTGGCAACTTGGTCATTAAGCAAAACAGTCATTAAGTGAAACTGCAACTGTGCTTCTGATCTTACTTACTTTTTATTTGCTTTATGGATCTGTGAAGATCATAAATGTAAGGCGTTGTAAAGCTACTTTTTCATCATCATTCTAACCACACATGCCACTAAATGAAGATTGCTTATAAAGTAAATTTATGGAGTCCAGCTTAATCATGCCGACAACCTTTATCACCAGAAAGATTACAATATGCCCCATTTCCTCTGAACAAAATTGGCTTTAAATGATATATACATGGCCTCTTGTTCCCGAATAGAGTTAAACAAACATCAACTTTCTCCCAGCCAGGACTTCCTGAGAAACACCAAGAATACTTAATGATGTCTGGAAAAGGATTATTAGGCTATCTTCTATGCAGAAACAAATAAATTACTCATACATTACAAAAATTAAAGAGGTGCAGCAGTGGCCTAGAGGTGGAGCTCTCGCCTCACAATCAGGAGGCTGTGAGTTTGATCCTAGGTAGTTGCACAATGTGAATATATCTGCTGTGAACTCTGCATTGGTGACAAGAAGGGCATCCGGCCAGTAAACACTCAGCTCCATTCAGTTGCCCCAATTCCACCTCAATGGGTGGATTATTGGGTCATTAAAAGAAAAAATACATTACAAAAATTAGAGGTCATTTATAACTCAAGAAAAGAAACAATTATCCCATCACAAGCATAAAACTACTACTGAAAAATTATACAATGAACTTAATAAGCAAAAACCAAGAATTGTATACTACGTCCTCAACAAACGCTCTTAAAGAAACGCTTCAGTTATCCAGTGATCCTACCCTCATACATTTCCAGGCATCGTTTCAAGCTATGGTGACCCAGAAACCCCTCCTGGAGATGCAATAGATGCATGCAGGGGCATGATATTATGGTCCCTTCCGCCTTGCAAAAAATCAGCCATGACACATTTCAATTTGAAGGCATGAAATGTGAAGGAAGAAGTGGAGGCGTGTTTTCAGTCTTGACGGTTGAGGGCAAAAGGATTTCACTCTAGGTGGTTCAGGATTTTAGTTTCAGAAAAATCATCTGTAGTCTCCACAAGAAAGCATTCTAACCTTTCAGTTTTTGGCAGCATGAGGTGATTGATGTAAACTGTAGCCTGTATTCCCAGAGAGACTATCAATTTTGACCTGCTCTAATATTAAACCGTGAGCTCATGTTCTCAAGGAGCAAAACAAATTTCAGGGGATCCAATCTAACAGAAGAAATAAAGCTGTTCTTACAGTATTTACAAAAGAAATAAACCTAACATGCACCTAGTACAATCTTACTTACCCCCCCCCCCACACACACACACATAATAAACCACACTTAGTAGATTTAGTCCCCCAAATACTAACAAAAACAAATTTGGCTATATGTATTCTAAACCTTATTATTATCCTATTGTTGACTATTTAATGCTGTATGCTAAAGTGAAAAAAGATAATTCAATTTATACCAGCTTCCTCTGACATCCTTTTAGGCTACAGGGAGTGCAGCATTTCCCTTCCACCTCTGAAACAGATTGCTCATTTGCATATGGAAGAGAGACTCATCAAGATTTTTCTCCATATTTGTTCATAAGCTATTGGGGGAAAATTCAAAGTAACTTAAATTGCTTTGTTTTTTTGGCAGAATAGGCTGAAAATAGCAGGCATTAAAGTCTCTTTAATAGACATCAACCCTGACAAATTTCAGCTGGTTACATTCAATGGTTTTATCATGATCAATTTTTTTTTTTGAAAAGACCATCTTGGTTTCAAAAGAAGAGAGAAACAAATAGCTTCCTTATTGTCTAGCTATATTGCCCCCCCCCAAAGAGGAACAACTCCAATATCTCTCTCTGTCTCTGTATGTGTGTGTGTGTGTGTGTGTGTGTGTGTGTGTGTGTGTGTGTGTGTGATATTCAGCTTTGTTTGGGTATTTTCCCACATCATTATAGTTGTGCTTTTAAAGTTGTAGCAACGTTTCGGCAGAATCTCATCTGCCACCATCAGGCTTCTGTATTGTGTTCGTCTGTGAGTCAGACTTTCACAGCCGTTTCTGTTTTAAATTTGGTGCTAGCCTACTGCTGTGCCAGAATGGTTTTTTCTTCATCCTGATTGGTTGGGAGTCTTGGTCTGTGTTTATTGGTCTTGGAGTTTGTTGTGTTCTGCTTGATTGGTGTTTCTAATATCTTCTGTCTGTTTTGTAGCTTTTTTTGTCTTGATTGGCTGGCAACATTGTGTTTCCTGTATTGGAGGCTTTTAGTGCGGCTTGGCTTCAGGTAAACGGACGGCTATCATTTATTAGGAAGCTAGGTTTCATCTGGGTGCCTGGTTGGGGTGTGTTTGAGCTGGAGGTATCAGGGGGAGTCTGTTTGTGCCCAGGTGTTTGCCTGGCTTGTGGTGTGGATATTTTTTTTGTTTGAGAGTGCAGGCTTCCAGATAATTGACAGTCTGGTGGAGTCATCTCTTCTATTCATGCTTTCAGGTCTTTTTTCAATCTCTATGGCTTCTCTGATAATTCTGTGGCTGGGGTTTTCTATAGTGGCTAGGGTTTTGGTGCCATTGAAGTCGATGCTATGACCTGTGGCTTTCATGTGTCGGACTAGTGAGGAAGTGTGCTCCAGCTTTTTTAATGCATTTTACTATAATGATGTGGGAAAATACCCGAACAAAGCTGAATACCATACATATAGATACCCACGAAAACTTAAGAAAATATATATGTTTTTGGCTGTAAATAAATAAAATTAAGCTGAAAGTTTTCAAAAACTGTCTTGCTTCCTTTGCTGGGATATCGGATTTGATCTGATCCCCACTGCACAAACTTGAAATCCCCTTCTGTGGTCACCAGCTTCTGGGGCACCAAGAGAGTTGGTGTGGCAGGTTGGCAAGCCTGGCCCACCCCTCCGTTTCCCCCCACACAGACACACACAGGCTTTCATGGACTGCCAGGCTGAGCAGCTTCTAAGCAGGCCTCAGAAGAACAGCCATGGGCGTAACTTTAAAGGGATGCTGAAATTTTGCTGGGCCTCATTATCATTACCTTTATTGTCAGAGTACAATATGTGTACAATGAGATTGGCTGAGCCTCCCTTCATGTACCCTCCCCCAACACAACTCACAGTGAGGACAGAAGTCCCAGTCCCAATCTTATTACACTATGTGACCTTGTTGCACAACACACCGGCCCCGCAAGACTGCCATAATATGTTGACATGAAGTTATTTTCACTGGGTCTTTTGGGGTGCCCAGATGATCTACATAGTTGGCAACATGGTACATGGCAGAGAAAGCAGAACTGGTGGCCCAGTGAGATACAATGCCAGATAGCCAGTTTGGTCTACTGGTGA